AAAAAAAAAAAAAAAAAAAAATACCACGTGAAAGAAGCCAGTCACGAAAGATCACATGTTGTCTAAGGTGCAACTATTGCTCTCTACTTGTTTGGAGCAAACAAAGCGAAGAAGAAACATGGAAACATTTAGTCCAAAGGAGTAATGAACTACATGAACCCCAGCCTCCACAATCCTGAGACCAGAAGAACTAGATGGTGCCTGCTTACCACTGCTGCCTGCTCTGAAAAGAATCACAATGGGAGGTCTTGGATAGAGTGGTAGAAAAATGTGGAACAAAGCTCAAAATCATAAGAAGACCAAGCTACCTTGGTCTCATAGAGACCGATGGAAGCCCTAAGACTATAGTCCTTAGACATCCTTTAGGCCTGGAATTGAATTCACCCTCCTGGGTCAACTTTCAGTCAAAGAATAGACAGGTCTATAAGGTGAACAATAACACCAGGGAGGTACAGTTTCCTTAGAATAATCAACCCTGTAAGATCAAAATTTGCCCAGGGATAAAGCTCAGAAGGCAGGAAGGGATAGGAAAAAAGAACAAACAAACAATAGAAACAGAGAGGAAGTGGGAAGAGTGCTGTTACATGGTGGGGACTGCAATGAATGTCACAAAACAAAATGGGTGTGAATTGTTGAATGGAAAACTAATTTGCTCTGTAAACTTTGGCCCAAATCACAATAAAAAGTTAAAAAAACAAAAACCCCACATATTTTATATTTTCATTTATATGAGTTGTCCAGAAAAGGCAAATGTATGGAGACAGATAATGAACTAGTGATTTTTGGAGCTGAGAAAGTGTGACTGACTGGGGAGTGACTGCTAAAGGGTATAGGCTTTCTTTTTGGGGTGACAGAATATTCTAAAACAGACCCTGATAATCTCATTGCACACACCTGCAAATGCACTAACAGTCATCAAATTATATACTTTAAATGGCTGAATTGAATGGTGAGTGAATTGTATCTCAATAAAGTTGTCAGAGGCACCCCTGTTGGCACAACAGTTAAGTGCTCGGCTCCTAATCCAAAAAGGTTGGTGGTTCAAACCCACCCAGTGGCTCTGTGGGAGAAAGACCTGCAGATCTGCTCCCATAAAGACTGCAGCCTAGGAAGAAAATACAAGAACAAAATGACAAAATAAATGGAAAATTAGAAATGATTCTAAATCTACAGATAGAAATACAGAAGATTAATACTAAATTGTCAGAAATAAATAACACATTGGAAGGGCAAAGGAGTAGAATTGATGCAATGCAACGCAGAATTAATGAGATTGAAGACAAATACCTGAATACTTCTTTGGAAAGGGATCAATCA